GCGTTCCAATAAGTCTTCCTACCAATATGACCATGTTGCGAAAACAAGGTCAAACAACCTCTATTATTTATACTGGAGAGACTAGTTGACGGACATCATGCTTTTTTACATATTCTGATCTTATGCATTCTTTCGAAATATACATTCGTGCTTGACATAAACAACGCTGCCAGATCGCTAAGTCAGAATCCATACCTTTCTCTGGTGCTACTCTAACATAGTTCCTCGGGTTTTATCTTGCTTTGAACTATCATTACTTCTGCATAAGAACTGCGAAATTTCTCGCAAATTACGTGAGTAGACATCCCGATACCTTTGCCTCCCACATCGTTTTGCAGTCCGGCTTTGTTGTGAAATGCTTTTTTGATGTTTACAGAATATCAGTCCAACATTTCACCTGGCAAGAGATTTGCCAGAAAACAATGTCGGTATTTGCGCCGTCTGTTTTCGTTTGATTCTACTGCAACATTCGTCGACATTTTAGGGCTTTCCACACATTTTCATGTTGATAACTCAGTCGTCAAGTGATTATATCTCCTGTAGAATTTTGTTTTTCTCACAAAATTAACGCTCATTTTTGTTGTTTCCCTTATTCAATCAATTTTCTTGTTGCTTTTGCTCTCCTGTTTTCCCGATTGTCGGTGCTAGTCGTTTTGCCTTTAGCCCAGTTTGCCTTCATGATCCCTGCGCAACGTTTGCATTTGTTCCTATTCTAACTGTGTACATTCCACAATAATCATACACACATACACACACACACCGCTTGCACATTAAGGGACTCCACTGTCTCTGGGACACACCTATCCGCGCTTGCCGGTGCATTCTTGTTTGCTTTTTTGTCCTCTTCCCAATCCCGTGTCGTGTATGCTGTTCCAGAGGCATAGTGGGGCGGTGTGTCTCGTCTGTACGCCAGTGCTTGCCCACCTCGGACTGCGTCAACAAGCAACCGTTTGTTTGTTTACCCGCATTTGTGTGTTCCAACTGTGTTCTCTGTCAGCCTTCCTGTTCCCTAGACGGCGTCTTCATCATGTCCTCCTCTCGGCATCATAACCTGCCGAGACTGCTCACTTGTTTGGGGCTATGACCGCTCACTTGCACCGCCGTGGAGTCTGTCTTTGTATGATTTTTTCGCCTGAACCGTCAATCTAATGCATTGCGACAGTCAGGCTAACTTCATGAATAATGGTTGCATTCGGTCTAGGTCGCATAAAGTGATGAAGGAGGGATACTAACAATGATGTGATGTAGGCCTCAAGAGGCCATTAGAGTTTTGGCTCCGCTTGAGCCCCGCCAACATCCTCAACGGGAGTCGAACTTGGGTGTTATCACAACTCCACATTGCCACGACTACTCGACTGGCACAGGGCAAACATGAACTTCAAAGCTAGCCAGGCTTTTCCCATATCACACTTTTTTTTACACGGGGACTGGCAAACTCTGTACCTGCTTTTACACTCGAAGGCATTACTTTTATTCAGAAACGTGAATCTGATTTTTCTGCTTGCACATCCTCTCTTTGCCTGATCCCTCGCAATTTTGTACCGATATCTCATTTCACGCAATCCCTTTCATTCTCTGTTTTTTGGTGTCGCTTTGATCTCGTTTGCGCAACTTAATCGGAGCGTCAGGGAAACTTTGTGGAGCATACCTAGTACTTCTTCCTCTGCCATGTTATTGGTGTAAGTTGGTACATTCACAGACTTTTCTCCGACATCGTCATTGAAGGGGCCTTGGTACAGAGTCACAACCTGTCAAATGGACAAGACACTTCGCAACTTGTTCATGTTGTCTCGGCAACCTTAATGAGCATACCTTTTATTTATTTCTCTGCCAACATAGTTATGATAATTTGAGCGTTGTATTTGGATAAGTCGGAATTTTGTGTTAAGAATGGCGTCTCTCACGGACAATATAGCATGGCAACAGTTAGAGGTTGTTACTCATCACGACTACTCTGGCCGGGGACGCAGGTGTCTCTGTCACTTCGACCAAGTTGCGATAGCGAGACCAAATCAACACTACATCTCAAGGAGACTGCGACCAAACTTGTGTTAACATCATCTTGGTCTTCACATCTACTCATTATTTATTGCCTTTCTCAAGGTCGGTTCAAGGTGATGCAAGACTGCTTTGAATTTTCCCGTTATGATATGAGTCTGCTTCATGTTTCCTTTAAATTTCACATAGACTTGCTTCCTTAAAGGTAATTCCATCCTTTCGGTAGGCAAGGCTATGTTAAATGCATTAGAAATATTTGATCTACTCATGAATGTGAGACAATTCAACTATCAATCAATTCTTTATAATTTTATATGATCTAGGGTGAATACAGCTTTTATTTAAATAACTTAATAAATTCGACTTTCTCATGTGGATTTTGACTGCTATCTCGACATCATCTTGGTCCCGTCAACAGTCTCCTCAGGACTCGAAATTGACCCATGCGTGCCTAAATCTTATGATAGTATCGAAGCCTACTGACTCGCTATATGGTTATCTAAATATACTAGTTTCCAGGTCCTAGTTACTTGTTGATAGACTGGTCGACGAGCTAGAGATATACATATGTAAATATGATTGCATAACTTTTTATAAATATAGGTCAAATATCTCTATAACAAATGCTACAATAAAGAACAATGTTATCGTTTTTGTTAGATGTATTCACCCTATTTCGTTTAAGGTGATGAAGGACTGGTATTAGAATTTTTCCACAATGATATGAATAGAGCTGACGTTTCCATTGAATTTAACATAGCCTTGCCTTCACCCTGGATGAGAACAACTTATGGGAAAGCAAGGCTATGTGAAATTCAATGAAAACGTCAGCTCTACTCATATCATTGTGGGAAAATTCATCTACCAGTCCTTCATTACCTCAAACGAGATAGGGTGAATACATCTTATATTACTGATTTACTGGTGGTCTCGAAACAGTTATTATTTTTGGTTTATAAGTAGGTTTTAATGATTGCCAGCAAATTATATCGTTGAGATATATTCACTCTATTTCGTTTATGGTGATAAGGGGACTGATAGCTGTATTTTCCCACAATGATATGAATTCCACATAGCCTTGCTTTCACAAAAGGCTTAACAGGATGACAAAGCAAAACTGTGTGAAATTCAATGGAAACAAGGTCTATTCATATCATTTTGAAATAGGGTAAATACATCTCATAGCAATGTTATTGTTTATTGAAGTGAAATTGTTTAAAAAATTTCATTATAACGAAGTAACTTCTGCAGTTATAACGAACTTTAAACTGTATATGTATATAGATATATGGGCTAATATGATCATTATTGATGTGGTTTTTTCCCATTTCGTCTTCTTCAGGCCTCATTCTTGACCTTTATCGTCATTTTTTGCGGCGAGAACTCGCCTTCATTCAGCACTCCATCGAAGCGCGAAACCTGCTGGTGCATCGAGTCTCCAACAGTCAGGATAGTCCGGCCTCGTTGCAAGTGTCCAATTGTCTTTGGTCTCCTAGCAAGATTTGCGATTGGCCGATGTGTGGGACGCCAATCTCATCGTTGTCGGCACTTGCTGTGTAAGTTGAAACTTCCGACAGACTATGCTTTTTGCTTCAGATGATGTCTGCCTTTCTGTGTTTTGAAGAATCCCTTACAAGCTTGAGGTTGGAGTACCTTTCATTTAGTTTGAAGAGGCGAGTCGAAGGGAGTCGTAAATGACCTCACTAAAGGCTGTAGGGGGATTACCTTGTAGCCCTGCCCCCCGGGCGGTGCACCGAGGATCTATTCACACAAATCTACAATCACAGCTACAGCTTCTGGTGAGGCCATCTTACGAACCCCATTGCATTCACCTCTTCATACCAAATGAAAGGTGCTCCAACATCAATCTATTTAGGAAGTCTTGGAAACCCAGTTTTTCTACAAGTTCCAACTG